ATTTCGTGGTTATATTGACATCATAGTGATATCAATTTTCATGAAAGCATTTTTCAGACACTTTTTTAGTGTAATATGAGTTATAAATTCTTTTATTGTGACAATCAATAATGTCTAATAAATATAACACAAACCGACTCTCTTACGTGAAAATTTGCTAAAAGCTAAGATCTTCATAAGAAACGTTTTTGTCTAAAAGAATATACTAGATGATGTTATAATTATAAAAAAATTTTTCTATCTGCTTGATATTACTTTACTCAATGCCTTCATTTTCTACAAGTTTAAGACTGAAAAAACAATGCATCTATCAGACTTTCGACTAGAAGTGATTCTGTCCGTCGTTGAATCTATTAGAAGTCAAAAGAATAAAAAAAAAAAAGAAGGAAGACTATCTTTAGATAATCCATTGATGCTCACTGCTCGACACATCACTTCACTTCTTCAAGTTTATTCAGCTGAAGGTACATCTGCAGAAACAAAGAGACGAAAGTATCAGGTCTGCAGTAATACAACAAAAGGTTCAAAAAAAAGAACTGATACAAGATATGAGTGTGCTCAGCGTAATGTTAGTTTATATGTTGCTTATCATACTTTGAAAAAGTTCTAAACATCCGTCTTTATAAATTTTTAATAAACTAGAACTATAGATTAATTGACGATCAAAAATATAGCACAAAAAAAGAAATTTTAATTTAAAAAAAACCGCAATCAAAGGATTAATATCATATGGTGAAACGTCTGATAGAGGAATACGAACTAAAGTCGACAGAGAAGACATCTTCAAACTTCGACAGATATCACTAGTTTTCTATTAAAAATTCTACATAATTCAACCAGTAAAAACACACAAGATGAGTCAGTTTTTATCGTAGAGGTCGTCGAGTATAATTTATAGATTATTATTTTATATAATATAATGTTTCTTTTTCGACGTCTCATTCTTACTTCTATTTTAACTATTCATAGACCAATAATGACTTCTAGTTCATCTCAATCCGTTGGTATTATTGATTTAATTTTATCGGAACATAAATATATGCGTGATGAATATGAATATTTTAAATCAGTCAAAGATCTAACTAAACTTGATACGCGTATTCGTCAATGGATTGCATATATAGCATTACATGGACATAAAGAAGAAATTGCATTTTATCCTAAAATAGAAAGTTATTTAGATGATGGAAAAAAAGATGGACATCATATAATTAAACATGGTATAAAAGAACATCGTGAACTTGAAACTGAATTAAAAAAATTAGTTGAACAATCACCAATGGAATGGAAACAAATATGTAAAGCAGTTGATAGATTAGGTATGAAACAAGAAAAAGATTTTTTTTTTTTTTTGTTATATATATTCTCTTTTTATTTCTAGTACATCATTTAAATGAAGAAGAATCTGATATTCTTAATCCACTTCGTTCAAAACTTAATGATAAATTTCAACTTGAACTTGCTCAACAATTTATTGCTGCAGGTCAATTAGCATCAGATAAACCTCATCCTGAATTATCAAAAAAACCTGAAGAAACTCCACAAGAAAATATTAATGTTGGACTTGCAGAAAAACATCAAGATTTTTGAAATTGGTTTTTTTTGTTTTTTTAGTTTATATAATAGATTTATAAAAAAAAAAAAGAACAAATACAGAATCTTTTAACAAAAGTCATTGAGTAGGTGGATAATAATTGAAATTAGTAGTTGGTTGTGAAACAAATGAAGTTGAAGGATATGTCATATAGGATGAATCATATGAAATGAAACCATAATTTGTATTATAACGAGAATTATTATCATAATCAGTAATTGCCTGATGAGGAAATGGTTGATAATATGAATTGTACATATCTAAATTAAAGAAACAATATTATGAAAACTTTCTTTTTTTTTTTTTTTTTGTTTGGATTTCTAAAACCAAAAGTTACTTGAATAAGAAAAAGGTTCATTTGGTTGCATTGTTGTACTTGGATAAATTCCATTTGTTATTGTATTATATTCATTATCATCTTCAATATTTGTTGATATTTGTTCAGAATAAAATGATAATGGAGGAAAATTTTCTTTTGAATTACAACCATTTTCATCATCATCATCATCACCATCATCATTATTATTATTATTGTGATTATATTTTGTTGAATAAATTTGTTGAGATTGAAATGATATATTTGTTGTTGATTCATCAATAGATGATGAACATGGTGATGAAGTCATTGGTGGATGATGATCACTTTGTACACTTATATCATTAACTGATGAAGATGATGGTGATGAAGATGATTTACTTGTATTTGGTGTTGAATATGGATGATAACGAGAATCTAAAATTTCAAATTTAAATTTATTACTATTATTATTATTATTATTATTATTTTATCTTACTTTTAATTTTACGTTTTGGTTGATAACGATATTCAGGATAATCACGTTTATGTTGTTCACGAATACGTTCAGCTTCTTCAATAAATGGTTGACGTTTTTCTTGTGGTAATGATCTAGATTAAATGAAAACAAAAAGAAAAAACAAAAATTTATTAATTTCAAACTCTTACTTCCATAATTGTCCTAATTTTTTACTTAATTGTGCATTATTAACAACAGATAAATTTTCAGCTAAATTTTTTCTAGCAGCTTGTGCCCAAACCATAAATGCATTCATAGGTCGTTTAACATGAATAGGTTTAATAGGTTTTGTTTGTTTTTGTTCTAATTCAGCCCAATTTAATTGACCTAATGCTGATGTAACTATACTTGATAAGATAATATTCTAAAATAAAATCATTTTTTTGTTTTTCATGATTAATAAATTCAAATAAACTTCTTATTTATATTTAACTTACCGAACTAATATTCGGACTTCCTGATGATGATGACATTTTTCGATTGAAATGAATTCGTTTCCTTGTTGTTTGACTACTTTGAAATTTGAATGTTCACTTATGAATGAATGAGATTACTTATTTGACGATGACTGTTAATAAATGATGCCATTTCACTATCTCTCTCTCTCATCTTCTTTTTTTTTTTATTTTTTCTATTGGGTTATGACTAAAGAAATAAGCCAATAGAAATCAAATGCGAAAATTTCGTTGTAATCAAATCACACTTATCAATGATTGTTATGAATATATATGTATTAAACCAATTAATGTAGTTCGACAATTGGTTTCGAACAATAATTCAACAATAGAATAAAAATATGATCTCACAAATAATTAATAAAAAAAAAGTGCAATGTGTAGATCATAATTTTACTCAATTGAATAGAATTTTAGTTTTGAAAATAAAAAAAAAAACAAAAATTTTTTTTCAAGATAAAAGAATAAAATTATATTCTTTTTTTGTTTTAGCACACCATTGTAAATTTTAAAATATTTCTGATCAAATCATTGATAAATGAACATAGGAAAATGCCGACATTCATCAATCAGAATCCTGTGGTGATTGAAATCAACGATCAAGTGCTAAATAATTAATCTTGATATTCATTTTCGAAATCTTTTTTTTTTGTTTTTTTTGTTTTTTAGTTTTTCGTTTTCACAGGAAAGATGACACCAAATTAAACCGTAACCAGAAAAACATTTATTATATATGCGTATATTTCACCTAAAAATAACAATATCATCATCACCACCGACTGTGTTTTACGGTCAATATGTGACATTCGAGCTAACATATAACATGCTGTTTTACATAGATAAATATTACGGTTACAAAAAAACAAAATATATTAGACTAATAGCCACTTCTTCTCATTGTTTTATATGTTCTGATCTCTTGAATAGTATTTAAACAATTGAATAGATTGATACTGAAAAGAACTCCTGGGGTAGAAGATTTTTTTTTTTATTTTGTTTTAACTTCGAAAAGAAGAGAATAGTCATTAAAGAGCAATTTGAAAAAAAATAAAGTAGTGAGATAATATCAATATAAAGATAAAACATTAGATAGGATAACAACAAAAAAATAAGAATATAGAGAGAAGAAGGTCAAGAGTATTTTTGATTCTAGTTGATTGAATGGATAAAAGAAATATGGATCTAATTTGTTTGAAAAGGCTTATCTTTATCTTTGGATGATGATATATGATGGTGATTTTTAGTAAGATATAGTCAATCACAAAAAAACGATTGGTAAAAAATAAAAAGTTTTCTTCGAAATCTTACCTTATATATCTTTTTCATTATATGATCTATTGTTGATTGTTGGTATCTTTTTTGTTTTGTTTTTTGAAATATATGTTTGCAGATGTATGAATTTAAATAGGATTTGACTGTTTGTCTTAGATTGAGGTCTGTCTATGTATATTTTATTCTCTGAACGATAACTATAGAATAAATGAACAAAGAAGAACAAGAACTGATAAGAAATATTGATGAAGATGTAGAGAATACGAGTGGACAATGATCGATGAGTTGAGTAAATGTATATTCTATGCATCTTTTCGTTAGGTATGATATAAACTAGGCTTCTTCTTTTTTTTTTTTTGTTATGTTTATTTCATAGATAGATAAGACATATCTGGTTTTTTTAAAGAATATGTGTAACTGATAGAGAACGGACTTATATGCTGATCAAATCATCAGATAAAGAATGTATTCGAGGTGTTTTAATGGTAGCATTTTGTACTTGACAAGATTAAAAGTAGAAGAGTCAAAAAGAATATTATTAATTGAAGTCAAATTTTATATTGTTTTATTATTTTATTAAAATCAAAAGCATAATTTTATAATTCTTTAAGTTGAAATAGATATTTTCTTTCTTTACATACGACACAGATGGCGTTGATTTATTATAGATATTTTCAATTTGAAATATTTAATAATTAATGTGAATATGTTTAAAAGAATTAAAATCTTCTTTTCGATAGATTTCAATCAAAAAAAGATTATATTTTCTCTTAAAATTTGAGCAAACAAAATATAATAAGCTTTTAACAATTTACCAATGAGAATGTAATATTTGATGTAAGTCTTGTCATTAGAAACGATATAATGTCAGCGACAGCAGTAATAACAAATGCCGGTGTTCAAATGCCTCGTTTAATCTATGGTACAGCATGGAAAAAAGAAGCAACAACACAACTTGTTATTAAAGCCATTTTAAATGGATTTCGTGGTATTGATACAGCATGCCAACCAAAACACTATAGGTATATAATTAATATCTTTTCACATTAGACAAAAAAAAACAAACCCCGATTTTATTTCTTTAGTGAAGATCTTGTTGGTCAAGCTCTTGTTGAACTTCAAAACAAATATAATATATCTCGACAAGATTTATTTATTCAAACAAAATTCACTAGTATTCATGGACAAGATCAATCAAAACCTTTACCATATAATCCTCATTCACCATTAGTTGAACAAGTTCGACAATCATTTGCAACATCACTTAAAAATTTACGTACAAATTATATTGATTCATTAGTACTTCATAGTCCATTACAATCACATGAATTAACAATGGAAGTATATCGTGAATTTGAAAAATTTGTTGATAATGGTCAAGTTAAACAATTAGGTATTAGTAATTTATATGATTTAAATCGTTTAAAAAGATTATATGATGATGCTCGACATAAACCTTCAGTTATACAAAATCGTTTTCATGCTGAGACAAATTTTGATAATGATATAAGAAGATTTTGTCGTGAAAAAAATATCTATTATCAAAGTTTTTGGACATTAACAGGTACGAAAAAAAAAAACAACAACAAAAGAATAGTTATAATATAATTGATAAGAATTTTTTTAGCTAATCCACAAATTCTTGGACATTCACTTGTACAACAACTTGCACAAGAACGTCATGGTACACCAGCTCAAGTATTCTTTCGATTTTTAATGGATATTGGTTTAACACCATTAACTGGTACTACTGATGAAAAACATATGAAAGAAGATTTACAAGTTCTTCAATGGCCTTCACTTGATAATGATTCCATTGCAAAACTTAAAAAACTTATTAATGATTAAAAATATTTTTTGTTTTTTTTATTTAGTCAAGCTTTACAGCTTTATTTATTTATTTATTTAATATACACACATCCAGGATGATACAACAAAAGAAAAAAAGATCTTTTAATTTAACAATAAATAAAGAACAAACAATTGTCGACGACAAATCCAAACGTTTGTTCTAATAAAATTTTCTTGATTATAACTCATACATAGTATGGAATTGTTGGTTGATTTGATTCTTTTGAAATAAAAACACAACAACGACGAAATTGTTAGTTTATGCAATATAAATATATTTTAAATAGATACTAATAAAAAGAAACAAACAATAAATAAATAAATACTAATCTAATAAACTAATATTATACATACTAATTCTTTGAAGAAAACATTTTGTTGGTATTCTTCATGTAAAAACAAGGTTGTTTTGTTTTTGTTGAGAGAGGCCAAAAAAATACATTTTGTATTATTCATAAATTTATATTCAACCATTAGGTTTATCAGGTGGTTTAATAACAACCTGTGAACCATCATTGCCACCATTGGTAACATTAACATCTTCATATGGCTTAGCCATGAGTGGAATTATATCAGTTTTATCGAAAAATGTATTATTCATAAATTGTTGAGCAGTAACAAGTTTTGTATGAGACATATCATAAGAATTATGAATCGTTCGAGTGAATAAATCAAAAGCCTTATCAACCATATTAATAGTAAAATGTGTAATGAAAATTGGCTGTTGCTGCACGATGAACAGTAAAAGAGTAGACGATAAAGAGTGTATGGAGTAAATGTAGTAAAAATGAAAGCGCAAGGAATGAAACATTGACTATTTATGCAGTGATGTTGTTACTATTTGATTACGTAATAACACGAAGGAGTATGATGCACACGTGTACTTGCACAATTATGTATGGGGAAAAAAAAAAGAGAATAGTGTAATGACAGCTTGGCATTCGCCAAATATGGTCATATGACGTTGTCAAAAGACGTGTCGGATGAATCATTTTGTGAACACAACCAGTAGAAATGAAGTCAGACACTCCTACTCGTGATCTATCAATTAATACTGAGTGAAGAATGTAGGAGGAAACCTTGTACAAGACTTAATAGAATGTGAAAGTGATACAAAGTATTAATCATATAGACTTTGTATAACGTCAATGAAAAAGAAAAAAAAATATTTTTCTTCTTTTTTCTTCGTTCTATACACAAAAAAGATGCTCAAACGATTGAATTTCAATGAATGTTGTAATAAAATTATGATGTCATAGATTTGACTAATGAAGAAAAAAAAATGATTTTCAATAAAAATGGCATTGGAAAAAACCTTTTAGAAAAGAGAAAAAAGAATTCTTATTTTAACTATTATTTTGATATTACTTATAGATAAAGAAAAAACATTGACAGTAAGAAACAAAACAGACGAAATATATTCTTCAATTTGACTAATACTATGTTGAGTTTTTGAAAGACGTCATTGAAATGATGAATGTGAATAAAGGATGATATAAAAAAAGACAAGAGTCACAAGCATGAAAGAGTACAGTTCATCATATGAGGCAATTACGCATATATTAAATAGTATGTCGATTCATATGGAGAAATTCGCAGAACTAGATGTAAATTTCATAACAATAGAGATTATTTTATCGAAAAACAAAAATTTACTTCTTTAAAATGTATTAATTCATTTAATAAAATAATATTATCGAAATTATTCTATTAACGTTTTGTAATTGTTTAAAATCAACTTTTACAATGAAATAACGTTTACTATAATAATATTCAGAGTCTTGTAGTTTTAAATTTAGATTTGAATTATTAAAAACCAATGTTATTCACTATTGATATTTAAAAATATGCAGAAATTTTAAAATATTATGGTTTAGAAGATAATATAGAAACATTATGTAGATAAAATACGTCGTATACTGAGAGTAATGATCTCAAAAAACATGATACTGATTAAATTTTCACTTTAGAAAACAGTTATGGAAAGAAAACAGCAATATGGCTTTGTGCCAAAAAAAAGAAAAATCAACTGATGTTCTCAAGAGACGTATTCGATGAGGTATTGCTTGCAATAGCACAATGGAAATCAGGTCAGACATCCACTTATGCACAGCTGGTTTATTTCCACTTAAGAGAGTCGGAAAAAACCTTGTGTATTGAAAAAAAAAACAAAGACGCCAATGTGACAGTGTAAAAAAACAAAGTCCATCATCAATACGAACATCAACCAAGGTCAAATGAGAACAAAAAAAAACCACGTTTCTGTTCTGCGTTCTTTATGTTATTGCGAAACATTTTACGTTTCTACTTGATAACCACTTTCTTCGAAATGAATTTTACAGTCTTCAAATTTTCGATGAAAAGTCATAGACATAAGCATACATCATGGAATTTCCGAAGATCATTGATAGATTTTTCTAAGAAATCATGACGAAAAAAGTTGAGAAAAAAGAACGAGCATTTCTACGTATACTTTTCTATTACTAATTGAATGCCGATTGACATAATTGTAATGTTGTATATAAAATATTCTAGTAATGACAGAAAACTTGAAAAATAGATACTTGATATTTGTCATACTATTCTTTCGCGAAACAGTAAAAAAAAACTAATTTTTATAGTGAAATTATTGATACATCGATTAGAGAAGGAATAGTATTCTCAACAGAATACGGACACCTGCTAAATCAATCAAAATGTTAGATGAAAAATTAAATTGGTTTTTCATAAAAAAAAAAATAAAATAAAATGTTTCAATGTGATCAATAACATCTTTGGGAAAAAAATATACGTAAACATGAAGAGAAAATCATTGATTTTAGAAATTTCATCTGAGATAGAACTAGACAATGACTAAATTTTATTTTTTAATCTTCACAGATTTTATAAAACTATTATCTATTTGACTAAATCTTAAATCATTGTGAATGATGATACGTCATCAAGTAAATGACGAATATTCAGTGGGTCACCCGTTTTTTACCTTTTTAAATGTGTATTCAAGCATGAAAATAATTTTTAACTGTATAGATATGTGCTTTGCATACAGTGAACACATTTTTGTCATAAGAATAGGTGTCCGTTTTCTTCGTCAAAGATGAATAGCCACAATAACTTTTCGAACATGCCTAATCAACGTCCAGAAACACCCATGCTACTTCGAATGTTTCATCCTACTTCTGGTCGTCAGGGTTTCAATGAAGTAACGAACCAAATGGCTTTTCCATCGCAAAGTTCTATTGATCCAAGACTTGCAATGCCGATTAATACGCAAACACAACAAGCTATCGATGCTTCTGCTATACCTCATGGTGTCACAGGTCAAGGTTTTATGAATTATTATTATCCTTCATCATACAACTATGGTATTCCACAATCATATCAATTCTTTCCAAGAAGATAATAAAATCAATCAACGTTTGTGTAACCATAAAAATATTATGAAAATCTGAAATTTTTATCGCACATATGTTAAAATGAATCACGTTATATAACACTATTCTTTCATTTGTTTTTCTGATAATTTTAACTATTAAAACAAATCGAATAAAATAAAAAAGAGAAAAAAAAATTGTAGTCTAATCAGTTCTAATGTTTTTTTAAATTTTAACTTTTTGTCTTCATACATATTTTTATCGATATCAACAATGCAAGCCAATAGATTTCACTCGATAAAAAAGAAGTGTAGACAAAATCTGCTCTTATAAAACACTTGTATAAACATGCATCGACAAATTGTTTGGTTGTATGGACGAATGTCTTATGTAATCTTGCATTAGTTTGAAAATTGTTTTTAGTTAATGAAACAATAGATAAAGATGAATTTGATGGTATCTGAAAACAAGAATGCTGATCACATTTTATACATCGGCTATCATAGCTTTCTGTTTTTTTATCCATTCTCCATTAACTTAAATTCGTAAGAAAATCTTTATTTCAAATGCTCGTGACAATAGTTTTTTCATATCAATGTGTAAGTCTCATTGGATGATAACGAGGTTCATCAAAGAAACCGTTAACAATAATGACAATAAACTGAAATAAAGAGACGAAAACGAAAGACATAAATAACTGTCGAAAAAAACGTAGAAACCCAATTTTTTTTACATCAGTATTTTGCCAATATGCAATAATAGATAAATAGACATGTTCGATTGTCGAAGGATATCGTGTATAAACAATAGAAATAGACACGATAGCAAAGAAAAACGATAGTGACATTCTCCTTTACAAAGTAATCTTTCTCATTCATATTAGGGTTTAGTTAATTAGCTTAACCGAACGCAAGAGATTTACTTTCTTTTGTTCGTTTGTTGATCTATTCATTTGTCTATACAGCATGATACTCGACATATTCATCATAGATCAAAATCAATTGAGGCGTTGGCGGTGACATTAACACATCTATATTATGTTTCGTCTGTATACTTCTTGGCACTGTTTATTACATTTTTCAAACATAGATTGATTTAACTTTTGAAACAATAGTCTTACAGTAATGGATAACAGTCTCTCCCTCTCCCACCTTCAAAACTTTATAGAAATTCTGAGATTTTCTGTAATATCAGCATAAAGAGAGATCAGTAGCCATCCCCTGACCAGACTCACCGTCCATTCTTTCTACGTTGTCTTCGATCGCGTACTCTGGAATATGACTTTATCTACACACTAGCTGTATGAAATCGTCTTAGTTTCTAACTGTTCATTTAGTCCAATGCTCACTAACACAAGTGTGGCAAAACCAGTCAAGTGTAACACTACGACAGTAAAATATTGACTCAGCCGAGTTGATCAATTCAGCTCGATCTGACCAGCCACGTGCAACTACTGTATACAATGAAAGTAAAAGAGTGTTTTTGTGTAAGCAAAACACAATATTTCTCCTTATACGATATGCAGATATACGATCGTAATACTGAGTCATGTAATTAGGTAAAATACCGCCGTACACGGAGAAATACGGAGTGTATAGTGTTGTTTACAGACATGTATGAACTTTGTATACGTTAACGTGGATCTATAATAGAAAGCATGTAATGAAAATGATGTTTAATGTAATTTTTCCAAAAGCAATTTATTTCAATTATACAATTGTACTTTATTTAAGTTCACTATCACTACAAATATTAAAAGTCATTATTCTATAATAAATGCTTTGAATTGGACTATATATTGAATAATGAACAACATATAATGAATGATCATATGCATACATTTAGAATGTTTCACTACTAATGAGGGACAAAGACAAAAAAATTATATAAAAAATAATCATTGTGTAAAAGAAATTTAACTGATCTCATAGATACAACGTACTATATACTCTATAAATGTTAAATATCTCAGCCATTAGCTATTTCTATTTGAAATACAAACATCATTGAATAAATTGACTCTTTCTCATATCATATATCGATAAAATTGACAACAACAAAAAATTCACATTATCATACATTGCTCTATATTTTCTCTATAGATATTAAAGCATTTTATCATGATTAATCATGTATTTATGATTAATAACATAAAAATGAATTAGAATCATCAATAGATGAGAAATAATATATTTTTAATAAATCCTTCTCTTGAAATTCAACTTAAACTAAAGTATTTAACTTCATTCAATTGAGAAAGTCTCATGATTTAATCTTCAATAATCTCGATATATTCTGGTCGAATAAAACTAGCATGTTTTCTTTTTGCATCAAAATATCGAATAATTCCATCAGATCCATTTGAATCACCCCATGGACCATCAAAAATAACACCAATAAATTCATCATAAATACCACGTAACATACCAATATAAACAACTTCTCCATATCTTATATTTAACATTGGTTCATTTACTTGTACATGCATTCCAATTTCTATTTTCTTCAATTTTATACGATTTAATTCATATAATTTACGTACTTGTTGTTTATTATTGTTTGATATTGATTGTAAGAGTGCATTTTGATCATTATATTTTCCAAGTTTATTTTTTTGAAGATAATCTTTTAATGTACCTTTACGTTGTGAATAAACTTCATCAGACATTCGATATTTCTCTGGTAATCTATTAATATTATCAATATCATCTA